CAACTCGCCTCAGCCGTGTACTTTTGAGTATAGATTATAAGGATTATAGCGTGATTATGAAATTATAAGAATGATTATAAGATTATAAGACTGATTATAAGATTATAAGAATGATTCTAAGATTATGGAATGATTATAGGATTATAGAAAGATTATAGATAGATTATTAAGATCATAATAAATGTAGAATGACAACAAGATGAGGGAGAGGAGGGAATACCACTTTCCGCGCATGTCCCAGCACGGGGCGATACCGTGCGGGCAGGAAGGGAATAATGGAGGGGGGTACTTAAAACGTCATGGTTACCTAATCGACCCAAGATTTCGGATCTGGTAACCGATTTTGGTTTTTGTCTAGAAAATAAAGGGTATTCATGAAGTATGACCCCACTCCAATTTAGGGCTCTTTGGCTCAAACGGTTTACAGATACCAATAATTTTGAGGCAAAAACTGCGTATTTGAGAAGGAGTATATATAAAACTGTATGAATCCTTGAAGTGAGGTCAAAACTGACTACACCACTGGAAAGAGATTTCAAAACTGATTGAAAATCAACCAAGCTGCTAAAAGTTGGATTTTTGTTTCCTACCCCTCGATCAAATATATATCAGAAGAAAAATAGCAGAATGTCGTAACTCTCCCATAACCAAAATAGATAGTCTTCAATTGTCATCGAATTTGGTTTGCAGCTTCCCTTAAGGGGAGGTTGCAAACGAAGTTTGATGACAATTAAACACTATCTATTTTAGTTATGAGAGTTAGTTACGATATTCTGTTATAATCTTTTTGGCTGATTGGCTGAGCGATTAGCGAAGCCCATAACTCGACTGACCGGAAAAGTTTCATTCTGTTTGTCTGTTTGTATGTCTGTCTGTCCGCACGATAACTCGAGAAAGAATTGAGAGAGCGATCTGGCAGGGTCGTTTTGTATCATAAAAAGACAGATCGAGTTCGAAGATGGGCATTCTAGCTCAAAAATTGACTTTTCAAAAAATCGAAAACCACAGGTTGAAAAATATATTTTTTAGCAAATATTTTTATATGAGCTCCTAACAGGTAACTCCTAAAAGTAGAGCCCTATGGGCGAAAATTTCGTCCGTTTTGCTCTATCTCGTACCGATTTAGCGCTATGGGGCATTTCTTGGCGAAAAAAACGTCAGAGAGACAAAATGGTATACTAAATCGTAAAACTTCATGTCACAGAATTGTAAAGGGAGTAATACTCAAACCACACATTACGGGTCGAACCACACCCTCTTTTGGGCTTAAGGGTCCCTAGATTATCTAGTATCTCTAAAACGTTGATTTTTACATAACAATCTGTCAAAATTCGAACTTTTAATGAAAACCGTTACC